GCTAAAAGGAAATGCTGAATAGAGAGAAATTAGCAATCAGGTAAGGAGAAAAAGCTATAGGCATTTCAGGTAGAGAGAGTAGCATAAACCTAAGTGAAAGCAAGTAACTGGTGACACAGGGTCCTTGGTGGACAGTGAGGAAGAAATATATTGAAAATTATAGGTGGTCAAATATTAGGCCATAGCATTTGATGTAAGAAACCTGATAAAAATGACATTGGAAGAGTAGGAAAGTATAGAATGGTGGGGAAATCAGAGAAGGGGTTTTAAGAATAATATAGGCCCATGATTAAAGTATGGTAGTGTCTGTGACAGTGAACATGCTGAAGATGCAAAGCAGTGGGTTCCTTAAAAACTATTTAGGAAGAACCAGCAAAACTTGGAATTTTGGTTATGGGGAGCAAAGAAAAAATCAAATTATTTAAATGTTGGCAGTCTATGGACCTAGGAATAGGATGATTCAGTTAACGTTGAAAGGGAAATTTGTTATGGTGGATGTTAAACTTTATTTAGTGTTAACATTTTACATTAAAAATATTTCTGAGTAGTATCTAAATAAAGGTGACCAAGAGAGGAGATCATAAGATGTTGAGGGACCAAAGTTTGAAGTATCAGGCGTTTCAGTCAGGCTTGCCCACATAGGATCACCTATAGACAGGTTTTCACTGAGCTCAATTAAGGTAGTATATCTGCCACACCCTCTGAGATCTCTGTAAGGGAATCTGGAGAAAATAGTAATCAAAAGGATTCTTTGGAAATGAGTTGAAAGAGTGGAGGAGATATCCTGGTGGTTTACAACTCACTCTGGATAGTTAATTGGTTAAATAACAAGTAAAGGAGGCATCAGAATCAAGGGAGCATCAATAAAAGAATCTAGATTTTTAACAAAAGGCAACAAACCAAACAAACAAAACAAACTCGTAGATACAGACAACAGAATGACGGCTACCAGGAGGTAAGAGACTTGGGCAGAGGATAAAGAGGGTAAAAGGGGTCAAATATATGGTGACACAAGGGCACTAGGCTTCGGGTGGTGAGCACGCAACAGAGTATATACAGATGTTGTGTTATAAAGTCAAGTCGTACACCTGAAATTCATGTAATTCTATTAACCAATGTTACCCCAATAAATTTAATTTTTTTAAAGAATCTAGGTTTTAGATTTATCTTAAAATTGGAGTAAACTATGAGTATATGCCCATGACCATAAATTATATGCCTAAAGCTACTGATCTCATTTTTTTATCTGATCTTTCCTGATGTTTTCAGGATTATGGAATTTATGAAACATGATTATATAATCATTCAATTTGAAATACCCAGTTGGAGGAGGAGGGAAAAGTAAACCATGGTAACATCCCTTCATTAATATTTCTTTTGTGTCTTGCATTTCTGTTAAACACATACACACATATTTAGGAGTCTCTTAAATTGTTAACCATCATCATTCCAACATTGATTATCTCTCTTATTGACTCGTAATAGAAAGCTATTGTGTTGTTTTCAAGGACTCGGGAATTCTTGAAAGGATTTTGAGCTCCATTTGCCTTGGATATCTGCCTCCTGTTTCTGAAATTTGCTCAGAAGGGGGAAGGGGACAGGAGGTGGTCTTACTGTTTCTTGAAGCTCAAATTCCACAGCAGAATACTTTTAGAGACATCTTGATTCTGTTAGAATTTGCAGGTCAAAGGTCAGGCTCAACTATCCAGGGATGGAGTGAATAGGCCACTTTAATGACTTAAAGTTGGATTTCTGCTACTACTGTACTCATTACGCAGGTAACATGGCATGTTAGTCATGCAGTAGGGGGTTTCTCATCACTTTGAAAAGTTCTGTGTTCACATTCATTTTCAGTGTTTTTAACTGACAAAAAGACACAACAGAACCAGGAGAGCCTGGCAGAAGGAGCATTGCAGTTTTTATTTTGCTATGTGTTTGTGGCATCCATGTATTTTATTTGCTTATATTATGCCCCAGGGGCTCATGGGAAATGAAGTCAGAATATGCTCCACTAGCCAGTCTTCCTTTTCTGTGGATGGCCTTCAGTTGGTAAAGCCCTTGAAGTCAATTATTAATCTCTATCAAGGTTCATTTTCTTCAAACTATGTTAGAATAGGTAAATTCCAGATCTTAAGCAATTGACTTTGATTTAAAAAGGAACTATTTCTGGTATTTTCATTTTCTTTTTTATAGTTTACTGTGTCTTTCTGTTTTTCTTCAGTGAATGCATATTAATTTCATCAGAAAATATTTTTTTTTCATAGAAGTAATTATATTAAAGTAGGTAGCTACTAAAATATAAGATTCTTTTGCAATTTGCTCTTTTTCACTCTGAATTCCCATTCCCTTTGTTCTTAACAAAGTTTTTAGTTTAGACACTTGAGTGCTGTCTTTAAAACTTAACCACATAAGGTCAACTATACCATATGGTCTTTTCTATCAGATATATTAAGAGAACAACAATTTTTTTTATTCCCCAAAAGTTAGATGACTGTTACTATTTATTAGCTTTCATATTTTTGCCTGTCACGTTTTTTAAGAGGTTGTTCTCTCCTGTAGAATCCATCTCAAATTTACCAAAATTATGGACAAAACAAACAATACTGTTGCCATCCCTTTCCAAAAACTTTAAAAAAACACAAAAGAACCAAAATCTAATATACCTATAAAAGTTACTGACACCATCCAGAGTTTACATGATTATAAGTACAACACGTAACCAAAACACTTTATTCTCTTGACTATAAATTATGCTTTTTAGACACATATACATGTAGAAATCAGGGTGAAGAATATACTTTTAAAATGGAAAGGACAGTGGTGTGTTCATCTATTAGGGAATTCTTAGAGGGTTAGAGCCATGGGTATGGGAGAGAAAGTTTGATTCTGTGCAAATAGTATATTATCAGTGCTAAATAAAAGATAAATAGACATAATAAAATTTCTGTTTGGATTGTATATACAACAAAAAGGCTTCAAAGTATACATCTAATTAAAAAGGCATTTCAGCGGCCCAGCCTCAGTGCCACGTCCTGTATTTTAAATTGTACAATCTGAATGGTCACCTGTTATATCATATTGCAGTTTGGGAATGTGGCATTTTACCCCAGAGATTAACTCTACCACACTAGCTGGCCAAGCATATCATTTATAAAAGAATATGGAATTTAGTCACAAAGCTTCAACAATACAGAATGATTTTTACTATTTCATATTATGATGCTTTTCTTAAGCATAGAATGGAACTGAGATCCCATCCCCTTGGTATCTTGCATTCAGCAAAGGTACTCAGGACTATACCTAATTGAATAGAATAATCTTATCTTTCATTCATCTTTTCTTTGCCTGCTGCTAAATGTGTCAGTCAGTGCACAGAAATGCAGTACCCTAGTTGAGAAAGCACATTTCTCATTTCAGCTTTGTCAGTCTTTGAGCTTCCCAAAAAGGAACAGATGATAGCAGTCAACAGGAAGCTTCATTGTGACACCATCTTGAACTCCTTCACCTTTAAGCTCATTTCACCACTTAACATATTTTTTTCAAGTGGTCAGTGGATATATTTAGAACCTCATTATCCCTTTGGTGTTGACTAGAGCTTCATGGGATAAGCCATCTGCCATATCTCAGAATTATATAGAGTGCGGGGACAGTGGGAAGTTATACTAAGGTCCTTGAGAATCTTCTTCCCTTCCAACCGCAGACTAGTTAAACAAATCTTCGTTTCCGTCATGTAAACTAATCATCCTCCCTTTGTTAGTACTGCTTGTTCAGAGTTCCCCAGACTACCCATCCAGAATACAAAATATCCTTGTCAGAATATTCAAAAGATAGTCTTCCAGTTTGTGGCTAAACTAAACCTCTTCCGCTTGACTGCTATTGAAGCCTAATTATCTTAACAAAGACGGAAGCAAAGTTAAACTGGGGCACTGCATTCTCAGATTCAGCATTTCCTTGTGTCAAAAGCTCAGGTCACTTATATAGTTCCTGTAAATCAAAGCTGTCTTCTTATAGATGACTTACATAAAAGATGAGCTGTTGAGGAATGCGTTTTAGACAAGGAGACTCACCAACTTAATTCTGATTATTTTGTAAATTTCTCATGTTTACCACCTTCTTTCCCTTCTGGATATTAACCAAAAGGTAGTTAGCTAAACCACAAGGAATGTGTAAGGTTAAATTATTATTTCAAAGTGCGCGGATCATTGGCAAATAAAGCCATGACTGGAAACTTACTTGCATTAATGAGATAAAAAGAATTATAAAGGTTCAGAATGCCCTGGAAACAGATGACTGATGACTGATTTTCTAAATCCTATTTACTAACATTTACAATATGTTACACACTCTATGTATAAAAATGTTTTTAGCCCTGGCTGGGTTAGAGCATCATTTAGCTCTGTGGGTTGGAGCATCATTCTCTGCACCAAAAGGTTGTGGGTTCTATTCCAGACCAGGGCACATACCTAGGTTGTGGGTTCTCTCTCTTGTCGGGGCGTGTACAGGAAGCAACTGATCAATGTTTCTCTCTCTTTTTCTCTCCCTGCCTCCCTCCCTCCCTTCCTCCCTCCCTCTCCTTCTCTCTGTCTCTCTCTCTCTCTAAAAAGCAATGAAAACATACCCTCCAGTTAGAATTTTTTTAAAAAATGTTTTCCGTTTCAGTAATGTCTTATTTTGCATGGAAGCTACTGAATAGTTTTTTAAAAATGACAAGCTTATTCTTTTTTAAAAATCATTAACTTTGTTTACATTTTAAGTTTAACAGTATCTAGGAACTCTTTATTGAGATGTCAGTGTGACAACATGATAAAGACACTTCGAGTCAGAAAAAAGACTGAATGAGATTCCTGGCTGCACCATTTATTTCAAGTGTGAACGTGGGCAAGCTATATAAACTCACTAAGCCTTAGTTTAATCACCCATAAAATGGGGGTAGTAATCATAGTAGCTTCAAAGAATTGTGAGGATTAAATGAAAGTCTTGACATTTTCTTTCTTTTTTAGGCAAGAAGCTCTTCTGGCTGCCATTAGTGAAAAAGATGCCAATATAGCTCTTTTGGAGCTTTCTTCCTCTAAGAAAAAGACCCAAGAGGAAGTGGCTGCACTAAAGCGGGAGAAGGATCGCCTGGTGCAGCAGCTCAAGCAGCAGGTAAGACTGAACGCCAGGAGGGGCCGCGGGACCAGCTTCACACTGTTCTTTACCCATGTCTTTACCAGCGTATATATTAAGGCCTTGTGTGTTATAGTAGACATCTGATCTTTGTATCTAGATAATTTTCTTATTTTTTCAGGACTTTTTATCTTTTTAAAATTAAATTTATTGGAGTGACATCGGTTAATAAAATTAGGTTTCAGGTGTACAATTCTGTGATGCATCATCGGGATATTGCACTGTGTATATGCTGCATATTGCTTACTCTTCATAAGCAGAGATTTTCATCTTCGCAAATCTCTGACTATGTCTAGCAAATGCAGAGTATTTTCGGTAAGAGGACTGGTTTAAAAAAATATCACAAGTCTTCTATGAGAATGTTTTTTAACTTTACGCAGTGATTGGATGAAATTAGTGAAAGTCTACCTATTTGAAATGGAAAAGGCTTATTTTTTATATCCAATTAGATTCCTACTACAGAAGGCAATATTGTTATTTAAATGATTTCCAGTTATTCAGGGCTGGGTAAGCTCTAAAAATAAGAGCAAAGTTTTGCCCTTTTCCAACCTAAACCCTCCTTGAATTTAATGATTAATATTTCTGTAAGGCCTTTGATCTGTGAAAATAAAAGCTGAAAATCTGTCCTTTGATAATGTTTGCACAACAGTGTCAATATACTTAATGGATAGAACTTACACACTTAAAATGATTAAAATGGTAAATTTATGTTATGTATATTTTACCACAATTTAAAAACTGGGGGGGGAAATTCTTCTTTGAAATTAAGGAGAAAGCTGATTTTTTTAATCTGAGTCCCCTTATCATTAATGCTCTTCCCTGGCCGTTCCTGTCTAATGCAGCGCCCACAGCCCCATCTTCCATTACCCTCCCCTGCATTCTCAGTCACATGTCCTGTGCCTTTAGGCTGCTCAGATTTGCTCTTCAGCCTGAAGTACTCAGACTGAGAAAGAGTTTTTCAAATGAATTTCTTCTTTTCTATTTTGGGTGATCAATCATCAATTGGTATCATTTTTGGCATATTTAATGTTCAAATTAACAAGAATTAATATTTACACATATTTAATGTTCAAATTAACAAGAATTAATATTTACACAATAAAGGTATTTTCTCTGTTTGTAGACCAATATTAAAACTGCTTAGAAATGGATTTTATTTACATGACTGACTTTGCTGAGAAAATACCCAAAGATGTCCCTTTTTTATAGTATAGATCGATGACCAGCAGAAACAACCCATTGCTCATTTACGAGTGAAAGAAAACCTTTCCAGTGTCCTAAAATAATTTGTCACAAGAAGAGCACATCATCCAATATTTGGATGCCTGTTAAGTAAAACAGAAAGAATGTGTTTATTATTAAAGACATCAGTAGTTCAGGACTGAAATTTGGTTTATCAAAGCTGATAATATAAGTAGAGTTCTGATTGCCATGGGCTAAGGGTAGGGAAAATGGGGGAGATGTTGGTCAAAGAGTACAAACTTTCAGTTACTCAGATGAAAAAGTTTTGGAGATCTAGCATACAGCATGGTGACTACAGTTAATAATACTGTACTGTATGTTTGAAATTTGCTCAGAGAGTAGATCTTAAGTGTTCTCACCATATACACAAAAATGGTAACTATGTTAGGTGATGTAAATGTCAATTAGCTTCATTGTGATAATCATTCTACAATGTGTACATATATTAAAACGCCACATTGTACACTTTAGGTATATACAATTTATATTTGTCAGTTCTATCTCAATAAAGGGGGGGCAGCTGATAATAGGAAATAGAAGGATATTGTTGAGGAATAGTTTTCACTGGTTTGTGAGCATATATATTTAGCAATATCAGCTCTCTTAAGTAGTAGTTAGGCCTAAAAATATAGACATATGATTAAACTAGTTCATGTTCCCTCCACCTTAAGACACAAAATAGAATAACAGGTCTAGCAGACTAGAATACTGTATCTCATTCACAGTGGCTTTTGATTACTAGGCTTTCAAGACTATATGGTTTCAATAGGTGAAAGTTATTATATTAATTAATCCATGAATTTATAATATTAGAAAGGAGTCACTGAAAAATTCCTAATATCTTACACCTAACTATATGCCCTGAATATTCTGTAGTGATGTGACCTACATATGGAGAAAGATAATGTAGTTCTTAGGAGTCTTTCCTAACAGTGTTTTTCTGTCTCCCTTCTATGTAAAGTTTCACATATCTGCATATCTGCCCTCTCAAAATGTGTCTGGGAACATTTCATCTTTTCATATGACTGAGGAGTATTCCATTGTAATTACGTACCTCATCTTATTTGCGACATCATGCTAAGCGAAATAAGCAGACAGAAAACATCAAGAGCCATATGATTTCACTCATGTATGGGATATAAAACTGAAAGCAACACATGAACAAACAAGAAAAACAAAAACTCAGAGACACAGACAACAGTACAGTGGTTACTAGAGGGAAGAGGGGGCTCGAAAGGGTAAAGGGGGTCAAATATACGGTGAAGGAAGAAGGTATACTTTGGGTGGTGGGCACACAATGCAATATACTGATGATGTATCGTAGAATTGTATACTTGAAACCTATATAATTTTATTAACCAATCTCACAAAAATTAATCTCACATTAATTTTTAAACATGTCTGAGATGCTGTGAACAAGAAGGAACTGGTCTGGCCAAATACATTTTGATTCTTTAATTCCTCTAAGTGTGTGTACTAACTTTTCGAAAGTGGTTATGACATCAGTGTTGTTTTAATTTAAAGCTTCTAGTCCTTGAATTGCTAGAATGTGCCTCAATCTAAAGCCTATTTTCTAATAAGGAAGCAGTCAGCATTGACCAGGCTTTCCAATAACTGGGCCTGCCACTGCCTGATGGGCTGTTGACATTCTTGTGTGATTCCTGTTGTCAGAAAGAGGTGAAGCAACAGGAGATTTACAGACTAGGGTCATCCTCTAAGATAGGTCCAAATTTACACACACACACACCCCAC